TAGCTAAAACCTGCTTGCAGAATCAGCTGTGGGTCTTGATTCGGGGGGAATAAACTCAGGGGTGACACATGGTGCCCCACATAGATGGTCACAATTGATATTATTTTGGGGAAAGATCTAAAACAAAGCTGCTTCATTTTATCTAATAGTCTGTATTCAACTGTATTGTACGTCAGTATTCCTCAAAGGAAATGGTTACTAAATGGATCTACCTACACCTAAAGAGCTAAGCAAGGAAAATTATTAGGCCAACATTAAATATTAACACACAATCATTAGTTACTAGGACAGAGACAGAGCATAAGGCTGATTTGGCCTGCCAAATGACTATGTTAAAAATTAAAGCAACACCCGAGGTCTAAATATATATATATATACTGCACTTATTATTATCATCATAATCAGGTTCAGGTTGTGCACAAAGTCCTGTTTATTTTTTCTAGGTCTGCATTTATAATGTATGACTTTCAGAGTATTTCAACAATCTAAACAATGAACCGAAATGTACTGTAGCTGCTTTCCCTGGAGGAGATATTTGCAAAACTGACTTGTATTAGATGTAGTCTACTACAGGACGAGAAGGTTGTGCACTTCTCAAATTCAGAATTAAATTGAGAATGACTTTTATATTACAGTTCAATCTCTGAATTCTAAAATTAATTTTCAAATTTAAATTTTCACTAAATCCAAAACATTGTCAAGACGAACTTTAAATTGTAGCTTGACAAGTTTAAAAAGCCCCGAGATGTATAAGTTCATCTGCCATACAGAAAGGGACAAGGATAGGATGAAAGATACTAAAGAAATGTATTTTATACACTACCGGTCAAAGGTTTAGGGTCAGTACGATTTTTTTTTTTTTAAGAAATACTTTTATTCAGCAAGTATGCATTGATTTAAAGTGACAGTAAAACATCTGTAGTGTTACAAAAGATTTCTATTTGAATTAAATGCTGTTCTTTTGAACTTTCTGTAACACTTTATTTTGACAGTCCACTTTAGACATTGAACTACCTATAAATAACTTTGCAACTACATGTCAACTAGCAGTCATTAGAGTATTAGTAGACTGTCTGCTTAATATCTACTAACACTTTATTTTGATGGTCGCTCAACAGATGTTCTACTGACTTTAAGTAACTTTGCAAGTACAGCAACTTATTCTACTAACCCTAACCTTACAGTCTACAAATGCTCTAATGAGAGTTAGTTGACATGTAGCTGCAAAGTCACTTACAGTTAGAATTTCTAAAGTGGACAATCGAAATAAAGTGTAACCGAACTTTCTACTCAAAAGAATCTGGAAAAAAATTTGATTCAATCCTAAACTTTTGAACCCTAGTGTATATTTCACCATAATTAACTAAATGAACTTTTATGGACCAGGGTGGAAGAATATAGAAGACTGTGTCCATTAATAAATAATTATTTCATTTGACATTGATGCATTTATTTTTACATATGTATTTTTTTTTTATGAAATATTTATTTATTCATGTTATTTATTTGCCACTCAAAACCTTACTTAAAAGAAAATTCATTTCAACTCCCTCTGGCGTGTGTCCAATTCAATCCAAATTCCAACTGATTTTAAATACAACCAATTTATCAGTTTCGCTCAGCCCTGCAGGATAGTGTGAGGTTAGGGATCTAATGGTAATCATCCATCTAAAAACATCTTGCAGGAAAGGGACGGAGCATTAAGAAAAAAACAAAGTACTCGCTCAAATTTTACCCCCGTGATCTCTACCTCCCCCAACAGTTGTACCATTTCCAAGTGGCAATAAAACCCACCAGCATCACTCAGTGTAATCCCAACAGAGGGATCCATAACAGCCCCACACACCCTGATGTCAGTAAATGTACAACAGTGCTCTCTTTGGCATCGCTTGCCAGGTTGTATGAGGTCATTTAGTGCAAGTTGAATAGACAAACCTCACTCACAGGGCATGTTACCCTTTTTTATTTATTTTCCGCATCCAAAAAAATGCCATTCCTCTTCTTTCTTTTTTTCTCTCTGTGCTTCCCTTGCTCTTTTTCTCTTTTGCTGACTTACTCTCATTCATCTTCTGCCTTTTAAAGAGCGCATCCTCTTCAGCTTCAGAGTTGGACTAACTCGGGCGACTCCCATGGCTGTGAATAGATAGTGTTGTGTTGCTAGGCGACGACTGAGATCAGTTAATCTGTGGATAGTGTGTACAGCGTTTGCCCTACCTGCCCGCTCTGTAGCTCACATCCTAGAGTATGAACCATGAACTCCTGATGACCCCATATATTCATATGCATCATGCTGTTTTTTCCCTGCACAGTGATAGACACCCTGACAATTAGGAATGCGTCATAGCCGTACCATTTTGGCTACTACACTGCAAACAAATATTTTCTTAGTATATTTGTCTTGTTTTCCAGTACAAATATCTAGACATTAAATGAGACCGTTTTATAAAGTGTTACTGATTTATAATAACAGCAATTTCTAGAATATCAGCCATAACATAAAAATTATTTTTGGCTTATCCAAAATGTTGATTTTGGCAAAAAAAATTGCAATATTGTTCATAAACTCTTCACATACAGTTGTGCAAGCAGTGATTCTTGATGCTGTTCTCAATGTCAATGTTCTGTATTGGTTGCGTTTGTCTTGGATGTTGCTTCTAACTAATACCACCTAATCTAACTAAAGCCCTGTAATCCACTTAAAATGAGGTTATGAGTGTGCTGCTGGATCCGTGAGGATGCTATTAAGAGAATGAGTTTCTGTCTTCATGTACTGCTGCGATCTGTGCGTCTATACATTGAGGAAACAAAAACACATCAGAAGGAGACTGCAAAACACTTCACAAACAATCAATCAATCAATAAATGGTGCGTTTGATAGATACAATTAGATATAATTTAATTGAAATGTATATCTGCTGTCTGGTCTTATAAATATCATCTACTGTATCTCTTAGTCTTTAAAGTATAATGCGTAATTTGTAATATGTCCTACAGATGCATTAAGTGGTCACTCCATATTTCCTGCTTTGGTTCACAATGAACACACCACCTCACATATTCAAAGTGCTAACACACGCAAACACAAACACAAATACACACAATCACACAGTTCTTCAAATACACCCTATAGTGTAAATCCTCATATTTGCTGAGATCAGAGTTAGCTGCTTATTTGCTCAGTAAATGTGGCGCTCCGGTGAGCTCACCTCCCCTCAGTTGCATCCAGACAGCAAACACTGCATATCTTTTCAAAACATAGAAATCATAACCTTAGGGACCAACCAAACCTGCAAAAAGTTCATACATCTAACATTTTTTAATGTTACTTTCAATGTAGTACGTAACATAATGTTCCCATAATATATAGACACAGTGGGTATAGAAAAGAATCACCCCTCTTTAAAATAATCACATTTTGTTGCTTTGCAACCTGAAATGAAGACGGACGCAGTTTTTGTTTTATCCAGCTGAATACTCAGTGCAACTTATAACATCCAAGTGAAAGATATAACACCAACATGTCAGAAAAACAAAACAGAAACAACACCCCCTTGTGTCAGTATTTTGTTGAATCACCTTTTGCTTTAATTACAG